GAAAGAAACAAAATTCAAAAGAAATGATATATAAATTAAAAGTTTGGCAAATCACTAGCTATCAATATAAAAATAGATTATAGATGATAAGGAACTCTTTCAAAAAAAGCTAGAAGAAAGAATTTTTGAATAGTCCCACAAGAAATGGTAAATTTTTGAGGAGATAGAGATAGTTTGGATTTGAACACTATGTAATGTATGCATGAATTGAGACATTCCATGGTACCCCATAAATATGTACAATTTTATGTGCCAATTGAGAAAAGCTATGCACTATTTCTAACATTCTTAAAACTGAGAATTATATATCAAATACCCAAATAGACCTACAAAGTAGAGCCCAGAACTGTCCTGTAAATAAAAGGATACTATTTCAAAAAATCAACTACATTTTTATATATCAGCAAAATTAAACTAGAAAATAGTCACGAAAGTTTTTATTTGCATTTTTAAAGTACCTAGTACGGAGGAATAAATATAACACAAAACTCATATCCCTAAGGATAAGACTATATATAATACTAATGAAAACAATTTTAAAAGCCTATAGTCATACATACCATATTAAAAGATTGAAAAGCTATTCTTTATATTGATCTAGTAGATTTAATGCATACTGTAGATTCAAGGCATTTATTTTTCTCATTTCTTCTCATTCATGGTGTGTACCTAGAGGGACATTATCTGCATCAAACTGCTCCATAGGTCTCCAGCATCCCCTTAGATCAGCAGCTTCCCAGGGCGTTTTACACTCAAGGCAGATTATTGGAGTGCCTGTGGGCAAGCCAACTATACAAATACATTTAAATGTTCTGTTTACCTCATGTCTGTTTATACCAGTGGCTAAAACAATTGACACAGCCACACTGAATGTAGTGAGGAGGTATAGGCCATTTCCAGGTGAAGAGAGGAGTGAATATTTTTTCAACAATGATCCAGTCTATCACATGTAGTAAAGAAACTTGACCCTGGTAGCTACCCTATAGAAATTGGTGATTGTGTACCCCAGCATATATGTATATATGTATGTATATAGACTAAATAACCCCTTCCCCAAATGACCAAGTTGTACACATCACAACCTATGAGAATGTGACATTGCATGGTAATAGTGATCTAGTAAATGTCCTTAAATCAAGGACTTAAGAATGGGAGATGATCTGATTATCCAGATGCAAGGTAATCACAACTGTCCATAGAAGAGGGTGATAATCACAACTGTCCATAGAAAAGGGAGGCTGATGGGAGACTAAGGAGAGGGTGATACAATAAAGCAGAGATAGTGGATATGTGGTCATAAGCCAAGGAGTGGCTCAAGAAGCTGAAGACCAGAGTCCTCTAGAACCCGCAGCGGAACACAACCCTGCCCAAACACTTTAGATTCTCAACGACAAAGCCATACAATAATAAATTCATGTTGTTTCAAGTCACCTAGTTTGTTTATGATTTCTTACAGCAAAAACAGGAAACTAATACATCATAAGAATTAATACCAGCACTATAACAATAGAAACAAGTGTTCATCAAATAGGATAAATTCTTTTTTTTTTTTGCTGTTATGAACCATGACCCTTTATTTCTTTGTGCTGTTCCAACTGCCCTCTTTCATAATCCTGCTAGGTATCAGTCATAGCTCTAATAACATTTTACCCCACATTTACATGCCCCCCCCCGCCAAGACCAGACAGCATATATTTTGTGAACAGGAACTGAATCTTCAACTTTTTAAAGACTATGCTTGGTAAAGTGTAGATGTACCCTCCTCTTAATACATGAAAAGAATAACTTGGGTCACTGATTAAGTAACCAATTCACTAAACTTCAAATACATGCAAAAATCTTATCTACTTTGTTTTCACAGCCAAGTCAATTTGTTTCTCCTATAGTCCACTTCTGTAAATTAGACTTTATTTAGTTCATATGATAGAAAATATTCATACAAAATGATTCCTGAAGTGGACCTTTCTTTCTACTAACACTTAGTTCTATCTTTGAATTCCTAGTGATGCCTATAGTTTCTGGTACATAAAACACACTAAAATATTTGACTGAATGAGTGACTTTTAAATTACCATGAGGCTATAAGCATGTTACAAGTAATGGGGGGGAAAAAACTCCAATGCAAAACATTTTAATAGGTTGTCAAATATACACAGTTATTAGGATTATCTAAATATCACTTATAAAAATTGGTATATCACATTAGATGATTCTATAAAACAAAAACAAATCACACATTGACAATAACCCCTGCAGTCCAAGAATAACCCCCATCAATAGTACAAATTACAAACACACTAAAAAAAAAGAAAAAAAAAAACTAAAGACATTACTTAGACATTTAAACCAAAGTTACTGTGACTAAGTACATTCATTCATCAAGTACAAGAAATTTAGCATTGCTGCTTATAGTCACTAATAACACAATTTTAGGTGCAATTTCACATGCTTTCATAAATCTTTCAGTACAGTTCCCATAGTAAAGAGTCTGTGTGCACTCCATTTTCATTTATATGCAGGTGTATCATACATCATACTTAAGATTATTTCACTTTATAATTACACTGTTAGGATAAATTATTGAACAGTCACTCAATAGAACATGGTACAGCACTGATCATGTACAAACTACAGTTATATCAAACAACATGGATGAATCTTAAAATATATTTGTCAAAATGTGCTACAAATAAAAACATACTAGATGAATCTTTTTACTTTCTTTTTTTAGAGAGAGAATTTTAATATTTATTTTTTTAGTTTTCGGCGGACACAACATCTTTGTTTGTATGTGGTGCTGAGGATTGAACCCGGGCCGCACGCATGCCAGGCAAGCGCGCTACCGCTTGAGCCACATCCCCAGCCCTAGATGAATCTTTTTAAATAAGGTTCAAAAATAAAGTAGCTCCTTTGCTTAGGGATAAATACTTAATGGTGAATCTATAGTTTTAAGAAAAAATCATTTACTGTGAATGTGAAATTAGGATGGTTGTGAGTGGTGCTTGTGAGAGTAGAGGCCAACCTGGGGTGCTTGCAATTTTGCTTCTTAAGCTTTGCTGTGGCTGCTTGTTTATTCACTTGGTTATAAGACATTAAAATATTCATTGGATTTATGCACTTTTATATTCATAATTCTATGAGTTATAGTCTACAATAAAATAAAAATCCCATTTTCAAAAGAGATCTTTAAAAAAAAAAGCAGGAAATGTAATTTTTTTCTATTTTAAAATTTGTGCGGTACTTGGGATTGAACCCAGGGCCAACTGTTGCGATTTACTTTGCATGAAAAAAAATCACTGCATAGTGATTCTCAAGCCCCCTCTAGGGGCTCTTCCCCAAGTTGTATTCCCTACCAGATGAGATTACTGAGACTGCTTATTATGGGACAAGGAGGTCACTCAGAAAATGGCCAGATACCACTGACTGGATACCACATCTAATCCCCTCTAGTTCCTCTGTGTAGGGCAGCGCCCACGCCGGTTCTGTTCACCACTACATACAATGTCAGACTCTCACGTGTGTCTGCTGACTTTTCTGCATACCAGGAATTTGCCAAACTAAGTTTGTGATTTGTCTTGGTTTGGATTCCTTCAGAATCAGACCTTGAGTAAAGGATTTGCAATTCATCTGGGAGGCGACCCCAGGAAACACTGATAAGGGAGTGGGGAACTGAGAGAGGGAATGGAAGTCAGCCCTCACAGGGACTTTGTATCAAGCAAAATGCCACTGGCGTTTGATCATTTGATGGCTCAGCTGTATTTTACCTGGGGGTGGGGGCGGGTCCAGAGAACTGAGATACTGATTCACCATCTCAAGCAAGTCACTGGCCCAGGCTGTGTCTACGGGTGTTACTTCCCAGTCATCTAGTATGCCCGGAGCGGATGGGCAAAGCTGGGAGAAGATCCTAAAAACAGGAGGTGCTGACACGGCAACCAGAAGTCAGGCCAGCATGCACCAATTTGTTAAGAGGAATCCTGTATGGAGGGGGCCTGACAGCATCTGCCACAAGATGCTCTTACCTGTAACATATGGGGAAGGAAAGTGCTATGGTTTGAGTGTGGTTTGTCCCTGAGATGATCCTGTGCTCGAGGGGTGGTCCCCAGTGTGCAGTGATGAGGTGGAGGAGCCTTTAAGAGGAGGTTCCTGGTAGAAGTTAATTAGGTCCTGAGGGGTTCCTGGTATATGGGTTGAGTCTCTGAGGAGTGGGTTCCCTTGAGAATGGATTGTTATAAAATGAGCAAGCCTGGCCTCTCCCCAGACTCTGCCTCCTGTCTCACCATGTGTTCTCTTCAGCATGCACTCCCTATATTGCGATGCCATAGGCCATGAGGCTCTCAGCAGAGCTGAGTAGATGTTCCAGATAAACTTCTTTTCTCTTTAAAGTACCCAGTTTCAGTATTTTGTAATAGCAACACAAACTGGTCAGACACAGTTAAGTGTGAAGTCTTAAGTGTGAGGAAAGCTGTGATCATAAATGTAATGTAAGGTTGATTAAAACAGAATAATGCTTGGATGTCTATAGGCTCCTGGGTCCTCCTGGCAGTCCTTGTTTAGGGTTTAAAACAAGGTTGGCCTTGTCTTATACTTCTATTCATCTCTGGTCTCTACTTTCCTTGTCTCTTCTGCACTCATTTTTAAGCATAAAAAGCTCACTTATACATATGGATAATAAGTTTGGCTCTTCTGGAAAGATCACATGAAGTTTTACTTTTCATCATAGGAATCTTGGATGCTTCCTCTGTCTGCCCAAATGGACATTCCAACTCTAAAATTCTCTGATTCCATGACGGATACCATGAGTCTAACACCAACAATGCCTCACATTAAAAGTGGTTATAGCTGCCATAAAGCATGGACTTGAAAAATCTATATTAACCACATTCCGTCAGTTTTTGCCAGTTGATTCTAAATACCTTCACTTGCTGTTGGATAATGTTGTGTTCGAGGTGAACTCTCCTCTTATATCCAGGTGCAGATCCCAAAAGACCAACTTCAAAAGATATTAGCAATACTTTATTGAATATATTAACTGACAACTGTGGTTAATAAATAAAGCAGTAAAATTTTCTGTGATAACTTCATCTTTAAGTATTTATAAATGTAAAATGCACTTATTTTTTCCTTTTCCACCAGTTGACACTATAGTTAAGACACGTTAAACTTCTTTATATTTGCTCATAGAACTCTATCCCCCAAATGATCAAACGAAGGCAGTAACTTATCTGGGCATTAACATTTCCCAGGGTGTATACTGAATGTAATGTTTTCTTCCTCTTAGCATTGACAATAAAAATCATACAAAATTTTCCTTTCCTATTTTTTTAAAAGAAAGTCCCAAACTGTCTACCAGAATTTTTTTGTCTTTTTAGAGTGAACTAAGACCAATAGGGTCATTTGGGGGTTGTTTTTATTAGTGATCCAATCAGCAATTCCCTCTGATGTACTACATGCTTTTCTGGAAGCTGATCACGTGGCGCAGTCCACTGTCTGCCTGGACTTCATCAATTCTCGTTTCAGCTGTTCAAAGCTCACGAACATAATGACGTTCCAGGATGCCAGTCGCAGGAAGGAAGGTACAAATCTAGAAAAGTGCATGTCACCATTCTATTAGCTTGTTTGAAATTCTTAAAGCTTTTATGGTACAGGTGCTTAATGCCTCTCATTAGGGTTGGGGGTGGGGTACAGGGGATTGAACTCAGCTACATCCCCAGCTCCTCAGGGCCTTGCTAAGTTGTTGAGGCTGGCCTCAAACTTCTGATTCTCCAACTTCAGCCTCCTGGGCCACTGAGATTACAGGCGTTTGCCACCACTACCAGTTTCCTGCTTGTTTTACAAGGTTTGAGACATTTACTATCACTAGAATAAACCTTCTTGAAAATATTCAGAAATTAAATTCATACTATATTTTCTTAGGAAAGTGATTTATGACATGATATGATTCATATGATGTAGTTTTATGGAAAAACAACCTGTTACTCAATACTAGTTTCTAGATGAGTTAAGCCACATCATTTTCTGCATCACTTTTCTAGATGGGTAGCGATGACTTTTCTCTAGTTTTGCCTTAATAAAATTGTCAAAGTTGAATCTATCAAATTAAAATAATGAAAACCAAATTTTATTTTCTCATGGCCCTCTATTATTCTTTCCTCTAGTTTATAGTTCTCCTGCTCTAAGAACGGCTTAATGATTAGAATATGGTCTTACATTTCCAATAGACTGAAACCAACAGGAAGGATATTGATTTTGAATAAGCCTCTAAGCAAAGCTGAGAACTTATTACCATTACAGCTGTTTCTTTTCTGTGACAGTGGAATTGGTGGGTTGGAGAAACCCGTGGCAAGGAAAAGTCGATACTGAGTCCACTGAGCATGCTAAGGCTGGAAAGCCAGGTTCCAGCTGTTCAGGTGAGACCGAGCCCAAGGCACACAGCGCCCTGCACACCACGCAGATGCAGAAGAGCACAACCTACCCTTTGAAAAACGCCGACGGCCCTTCCTGGTGGAGCATTGTCATTGCACATCTGGGCACGCTGGTATACTGCCCTGGCGGAGAGTTAATAAATCTGGTCTTCACCACATCAGCCGGCGAGGACAGAAGTGTGGTGCAAAATCCAGCGACGAAAGCAGACAGCAGGTGGCAGGGGACATCATCTAGAATGTGTCAATGGGACAGGTCAGCACCAGACTCATTGTAACCCTGCTGGTCACAGGAGATCAACGTGGATGTCTTATAATTAATCATAAAACACAAGGTCCTGCTGGCAGCTAGGCGGGTGGTCAATAGTACCTGGCAAAATGGATTGTAAACCCTTGAGAATAACTGTTTTCCTTGTGGCCTTGGGGCCCAGCATAACACCTGGTACATGGGCATCTGACACTTTTTAATTGAATGAAAGTCATTGTCAAAAGAGACTGTCAGTGTCTCTAGAAACAATATTACTTTGAGGAACTATCCTATGGAAGATGAAATCACTTTTGGCTACAATGCAGGAGGGACTTACCTCCTGAATTCTGCCATAGAAGGAATATGATTCTCACAAAAGTTCATATATTAGTATTAAATGAGAATAATGATGATATGAAGGGCAGTTGAATTTTGGTTTTGTAGCAGCAAAAGTACAACAAAAATTTATTGCGAAAAATTTTGCTGCAGCAAAACTATAGCTCTTTTTCTGCTTCTCAAAACATTATATTTATTGTTCAAAATTGCTTAAGTTCTAAAATGGGAAGACTATTAGGAATAAGGGATTCAGCTGGACACAGTGGCACACGACTGTAATCCCAGAGACTCAGGAGGCTGAGACAGGAAGATCTCAAGTTTGAGGCCAGCCTCAGCAACATCAGTAAAGCCTTAGGAAACAAAATAAAAAAAATAAAAAGGGGCTGAGGGTGTAGCTCAGTGGTTAAGTGCCCCTGGGTTCAATCCCCAGTACCAAAAAAAAAAAAAAGAGAGAGAGAGAGAGAAAGTAAGAGATTCAGTAGAACATGGATATAAAAACTCCAAGATGAAATAATAGAGGTGCCAATGTGTGTGTTGTCTGCAATAGGAAGCTACCTGCTAGGATTTTGTTTCTCACAAGAGCCCCCTTCATCAGGTCATATGTTACCAACTCTGTGCAATTGATGATGACATTTCTCAACAGATTAGGAGTAGTCCCTGGAGAAAAAAAAAAACAAAAGACAAAGTTTAATAAAGTACTCTTGGATAAATGTGTTTTAATAGTTAGAAAATGCGCCTAGAAGTTAGTTACCTTTCCAAAGACTCCTGAAGCTCTCTGTTGTTGCTATAATTCTGTACGCGTTGTAGGTCCCAGTGTAGCGAGGTTTGAGCCCATGTAGGTGGCTCTGTGCTTGGAGCCTGACCTTCACGACCTCGGTGGGCTGCCCAATGAACACTGCCACTCCTCCAGTTGTAAGTCCGGCTGAGATTTTGCTTCCCAAACTGGGTGTTGCTGTACAGAGAGAAAAAATGATTTTTCAAGACAACAAATTCAAAACCCCAAATACATTCCTATTTCTCTTAAATATTTAGTGGTTAAGTGTTTTTCTATTTTTACATCTTCTCTATTTTCCCATTTGTGTGTTCATGTGTTGACCATGTACTAACAATGGACCAAATCATAGTTGGGCTAGGAAAATTCAGTTGCCTGAAAGTTTTTTTTTTTTAAATAAAAACTTTCAAGGAAAAAAGTTAAAATGTCTAAATGGACAGTGGTTTCGTTCTTTCTGGCATTCAGCATAGTTCCTCCTGTGTTTTGCTATCTTTTTCAATATTTCTCAACTATGAGGAGGCACCGGTCACCTGTGATGCTTGTCTTCCTCCTTTCAAAGATGATGCTAATCATTGGACTCTGGTCTTAGGAGAAGCCCAGTAGACAATTGCCTTAACTTAGGTAATCACATAGTAGTAGGCTACACCATAGAAAGAGGATGAAAGTAAGAATAAGGAAGTCAAGAAGGTGATATTTGTCTTGAAATGTTGGAAAATTAGCTTATGACACTCAAGACAGATCAAATATAGCGAGGCCCGGTGACGTTCTCCTGTAATCCCAGCTATTCAGTAGGCTGAGGCAGGAAGATCACAAGTTCAAGGCCAGCCTGGGCAACTTAGGGAGATCCTGTTTCAAGATAAAAAAGCTAGGGTACAAGTCAGTGGTAGAACTCCTCTGGGTTCAACCCCCAATACCACCGCAAACAAAACAAAACAAGACAGGTATCACTTAATACAACTACAAAGTGTCTTGAAGCCCAATATTCATTCCTATCATGAAATATAAAGTTATGGTCTAATAACATTTACTCATCAGTCTTCCTAATTCTGTTCCCTAATCTGTGAACAGGGATAATAATATAATATTATTTATATATAATATTAATATTATATGATACTATACATAATATTAATATTATATAAAATATATAAAAATCAATATTATATGATAACTTTATACAATATTATATTATACATAATATTAATATTATATATAAATAATATTATATTATTATCCCTAATATTATTTATATATAATGTTAATATTATATATAAATAATTATATGAATATTATACATGATTATATATTTTTTCTATATTTAATTATATAAATAATTATAAATTATAATAACATATTATTCATAAATCATATAATATTTATGAAGTCAGTAATAATATTGACTTCATAAAATCATGGTGTGAATTAAAATAATATAGACAAAGCCCTCAACACACTGGATAGCACAGAGGAAATACACAAAACTGGAAGCAAATTTTCATCTCTATTCTGGTTGTACATTTGTCGGAGTCCAGCTCCAACAGGGGGTCTCAGGAGACCAACAGATGGTGAGGAGTCGGCGAAAGTGGGGGTGGAGAAACAACACAGACACCAAAGTGAAGGTGCTGAATCCCAATCTTTACTTGTGAAGTCGATCATATATACTTTTCATTTTGGCAGGCTCACAGTACTTTGTGGTTACAAAACAGGAATCATTATTCAAAGAAACAAAATATTACCTAGCTACAATTAGATAAGAAGAATGTCTCTTGGCTTAGGCATAAGCAAAGCATTTTTCCTTTCAGTTTGTGTTTTGCTTTGAGCTGTTTCTGTTTAGTTAACTTTTAATAATAGTTAGAAATGTCCCAACTATTGGCCTATACCTTGACTATTCTTTCTTGACTTACTGACTGGAACCAGTGCCATGGTTACAGCAAGTGGTTAACTTGCTATTAATTTTAATCAAACAAGAGTAAGAGCACAAACCATTGTGCACAGGAACAAGAACAAGTCGCCCAGTACTAAGCACTAATCTGTCTTCTTAACATTAATTCTTCTTCTCTAGACTTTAATTTAATTTCTCAAAAACTTCCTTGACAGGAATACAGGGAGTTTTTCATTAAACATTAACAATTTACACTCCACAGCTAAATCATTGCATTTAGAGCACACAGATCTATTCTTTAGAAGTAGTTGCATTAATTGAGAAAGTCATGTTTTTTCCTTCATACTTAATGGTCCTATGAGAAGTCGCAACTATACTTATTAAAGGAATACAGAAACAAACCAGCCCATTCCCAGAAACATGCTGCGCTCCTCCAGAGGATGGACGCCTTGCGCCATCTACCTCAGTAGGGCCTTGCCATTGCCTGAGTCAGGGGAGGAGCGCAGCATACATTTGCTTGGCCAAGAGCTGAGCTTACACGTGTTGATGTCATGGTGAAGGCTGCCTTCACTTAGGCCCGTGTCTATGATCTCATTCGGGTTCACTTACCCTACACGCCAGTCTCCCTCCTTCCTGTCCTTCTTCATCACAGGTAGGCCCCTTGAGAGAGGCCGAGCTCCCTTATTCTCCTCAGTCCTCCGCTCCTCCTCAGTCCTTCCACCCCTTTACGTATTTTTGTAATTCTGCTTCCTGGAATCTCACGTAGATCTGTCTCCTAAGCGTGTGTGCTTACTGGACATCATTTCTGGGTGAGTCCTAAACTGAATCTATCTTCCCTCCATGAGACAGCTTCTATATTCCCTCCTGAAGAAGTGGTGTCTCTAGCCAGAAACTCAGAACCCATCTTACCTTTCCCTTAATCCTTACTTCTAGTCCTTCGCCAAGTTCAGTCAATTGCACTTCCTAAATCTTTCTGATTGACATCTCCTTCCCTATAGCCAATGCTTTGGGGCATCACTTGATTATTTCTTACTTCCTGACTTACCCCTTTCTTATCCTTTCTTTATATATACTCTATCAGATGTGTTTATGCCATCTCCCTGCTTAGTATTTTTTCAATGATTTTTCACCAGTGTCAGGACAAAGTCCAGACTCCTTAGCATTAGCCTGGCCTGTGATGTGCTCCTTCCTGCCTTTCTCCCTCCTGGACAACATGCCCTGCCCCTCTGCTCTGCAAGTTCTCTCCATCCTGTCTGAATCTTTGTACATTAACTTCACTCAGCTTGAAAGGCTTTTCTTACCGCTTTGCCTGGATTACTCCTACTGATCCTTCAACTCAATTCAGACATTAACTTCAGGAAAATCTGGTATGACCACGCCCCCGCAGCTAGGTGTGTTTCCCTTCACTGTGACACAGCAAGTGCCATGGAATACAGTCATCTATTGGCTCCTCCTCCCCACAAGTCCCCTATGAACCATGAACATCTGCACATCTAACAGTTTCTGGCATGTTGTCAGTTCAACAAAGATTACCAAAGGAACCAAATAGTTGCACCGTAGAATAGTACCAAAATCTATCTCATTCATTTGGTGCCTGAAGTACTCAGATCTTTACCTAGGACAATTCAGTGTCGATCTAGAAACCTACAGACTTTATTTTCACTTTGAGAGTACTTGTGTGGATAAGTTTAAGTTATATTTGTACAGATAGATAATAATTTTAAATTATCCCATATACCAGTATTCAAAAGTTACTGAAGACAAATGATGACATCAAGCCAAGGAGTGACTTCAACGGTTCCTTGTTAGCACATCTCCCTGGCTTGTCTACTCCACATGACAGCACCTCTACTATGTACTGTGTGCTTCTGTGTCAATTGATTCCTTGGATACACAGATAATACCTTCTACTCATGGCATTGCTGTCCGGATTGAAGGATGTAGAGGATCATATGCCAGGTGCAGAGGGCAGCAGGTGTAGTGGTTAATAGCTGGGGTCAGAGAACGGACTGCCTGGGTTTGAACTCTGGCTCTGCCCCTTTCCTGGTATGTGAACTTGGGCACGTTATGAAATTGCTCAGTTTCCCCACTTGCCAAGGGATCATAATATCAGTATCTTTTTAGTTGTGATGTATCTCAACTAAAAGCCCAGGATACTGGAAGGACTTACATACTTCCTGGCTAAACGGACAGGAGCTCAGGCTACGCTGGCACTCAGGAATCATCTGATTCCTTGCCTTCCCCTGAACAAACCCAGATACACAGATAATACCTTCTATTATCTGGCCCTCCCTAGAGGTAAAAAACTCCTAGGACCCTCTGGACAAGGAGATGAGTTTTTCCTGTCCTGTGACTCTCTTCTCAAGTTCTAGCTGCCTTTTCTTCACAAATCTCATGTTAGATATCCAAATTACCAGGAAAGCTTGTACAAGAAAGTACAGATTCCTGGGTCCCCAGCCTGAGAATTCAGATTCAGAGGGCCATGGTAGATTTCATTTGGATTTTCAACAAGTTCCAGAGGTGTTTCTGATATACTTTGCTGTTTAGGGAACTTTGCAGCCCATTCATATTCTCCAGAGGGAGACCTAAATTAGACCCCAAACTTCCATCAAGGTCTGGGTGATTTTTATAAGTAAACTTGCATCTGAAAAAAAAATGATTTGCAGACTTGTTTTACTTTCTATGAACCTGGGGAAAGGACAAGAATTCAAATATTGATATTTTGTGGCCAAATTGTTATGGAGACCACTACCCTATTTGTTGGCTTAGTGGTGCTGGGATAGAGGCAGGGCCTCCCATAAGCTAGGCAAGTGGCTCTACCACTGAGTTCCACCACAGCCTCCCAGGTCACGTTTTCAAAGAGCCCAGCCCCTCCCAGGAACCCCAGTAAGGCTGTTTGCTTACTTTCATTCCCTGAGGTGAAGAACTCCTGGACAGAATCATAGAGGCCGATCCTAAGAGAGGCGAAGCTTATTTGCCTTTGCAATCCCGCAGGCAACCCACTGTACAGTTTCATGGGCCCTTCGGTTTTTGCCAGGGTGGTGATTGTTCCCAGGACACCTTTATACTTAATACCACTGGAGACTGGGAATTCGCCTTGGATCTGGAAATGAGAAAAGTACAGGTTAGGGTTAGTACTTTGGTGCTTAGAACTCTTAGGGCCCCCAACTTTTGGGGGGTTTGGCAGTAGTTATGGTCAACCCATCATCCTTGACCTTGGTTCAACTAGTCCCTGGAAAAGTTTCAGTTTCCCATCCCAAAGCATCCAATCCCAGACAGCCAAGCCGCTCTCCAAGGCTGCCACCATCCTTCCCTTATTGAAAGGGTGGTTGAGCCCAAACTTTGCATCAAAGGGACACACACCATAGCGGGCGATCCTCTCTCTGCCCCGAGACCCCCAGCCATCCGCCTCTGGCTCGCTACCTGTAGCCGGACTTTGGCGGTGTCCAGAGGGAAGGTGATCACATCCGCCAAGCAGGCTGACACTCCGGCTGAGACGATCTTGATGCCCATGGTCGGGTGCACGTCGGAGGCTGTGGGGCTCACCATCCTCACTCAGAAAGCGGGGCCAGGCGCCTGGCAAGAGCGAAAGGCTCCAACCTCCAAGGTGGAAGTTCTTTTCCCTCCCGGCCTGGGCAGCGAGCCCACTCTCTGACTTCTGGGACAGCCACCACCAGGGAGGTGGCAGTCCAGAGGTGACGGCTGCAGGCGGAGCGCAGTGGTGCAACCCAGCCCGAGCGTCTCCCCACCGACGCTCGCGCCGGGGTGACCCGCTGCGCCCAGGCCGACCCGCGGTGGCATATATAGCCGGGAAGACCTGGGCGGGGGGACCGGCAGGGGCGTGCTCTGGATGCCGGTACCTCCCACACCATCCTCGCCCAGCGCCTGCCCAGCCGCCCTTCAATAACTAAATCCTTGGCCTGGGACCCCACCGTCTGCGCCAAGCTCCGGACGTCACCCCGAAAGCGCATCTGCGACAGGCAGACATCCCCTCCCTCGCAGTAGGCGCACGGCACCCTCTATCACTCTCCTGCTGGGACCCTCGGCTGGGGAGGGGAGCAGGTGGGAGATCCCCCAGCGAGCGCGATCTCAGAGCTCCTGCTAAAAGGTCCCCGCCAAGCCTCCTAGAAGAGACAAGTGGCTGGCGCTGGCTGCATTCCTCATACTCCCTGGGCTCCTTGCTGGCACCTGGCAACGTTTTCTGCTTCCATTTCTCTCCATTTATTTTCACCATTCTCTTTCCTTCCCGACACTTTCCCATCACCAAAATCAGACTTGGAAAAAAAAACATCCACGTAAAGACAAAGCTTTCAAAAAAAAAGTAAATAAATAAATAAAATGTTTGATTACTTTTTGTAGGGAAAAGTCCAATGAGATTATAGACGCCCTAGAACGCGGTCAGCAAGTTGCTACAGCACTGTACAAAATGAGCTATCCCTTGCTCCTTGTAGGTACATTTCTTAGGGGACACAGTGGAAGGGACACAAGCAATAGGCAGGTGGCTTGGCTTCAGGTGCAGCTCTACCACCTTACCAGCTCCGAGACCCTGGGAAAGTCATCTTTACTCCGACTCTGTTCCCTACTGTATAAAATGTGGTTCCAGAGCTGCCCCAGGTCTGAATCCTGCTAACTATAGTGATAACTCAAATACCCTAATGTGTGTTTTTGTGGCAGAAGATTTTCATACCTCTACCATTGTGCAAGGATTTATTTATATTTTGAAAACATCTGAAAATGCCCTTTAAAAAATGTAAGTGGGAAACCACAGGAAACAGGAGAAAGAAAGAGGGCAGGAAAAAAGATCAGGCCGCCATCTTTCAAGACCTCTCGAGATAAGATCCCATGGATATTACCATCATCCATAGTGAGTCCTGGGTCCTGCTGGTACTCAACACTGAATGCAACCCAAAAAGAGTGAATGGAAGTTGGAGTCATCAGAGGAGAGCAATTAAGACACGAAGCTCCTAAAGAATAATTCTCAAATCCTCTATAAGAAAAGGGGTGTGTTCTCTGCAAGAACCCAGTTTTATTTTTTGTTATTGTTGTTCGGTTTGGTTTGGTTTGGTACCAGGGATATAAAGCCAGGGGTGTTTAACCCCTGAGCCACATCCTCAGTCCTTTTTTATTTTTTATTTTGAGACAGTCTCACTAGATTGCTAAGGCTGCCTTTGAACTGGCCATCTTCCTGCCTCAGCCTCCTGAGTCACTGGGATCACCGTGTGCGCCACCTTGCCTGGCAAGAACCCAGTTCTAAGCAATTTCCAAGGGAGGGCACATTCCGAGGGCTTGCCTGAGGAAGGCCATGTGCACCAATGGGTGGACTCACAATAAATAAGAGAAAGAAGACAGAGAGGTTTCTCCTCTACAAAGACCTGTTGAAATAAAGAGCCACTAAGGCAAATGAAGATGCATGCGTGAAGATGTACAGCAGAAAAATACAGGGAGGAGTGTATTCTGGTGGCCTGATGGACTGGGAAGTCAGTCATGGAGAGAAAGGAGGGGGAAGACAAAAAGTTGGAAAGAGATGCGCCCATAGAAGTCAAATGAGGAGCAGATCCTGAAAATCTATTGTAATTGTAGATTTATATTGTCACCTCATACCTGTGAAATGCTTGTAAAATGCTCTCACATAAATGTCACTTTTCATCTAATAGACAATACAGTTTTATGAAAGTTTAGATGTGGAATCAAAGATTTTTCAAAAGTAAATTGTTTAATGGGTAGCAGGTTCTGTGATGTAGCAAACTTATTGTCATAAGGCAGCTGGGAAGGGAAGGTGATCTTCATTTTTTTTTTTTTTTAGTTGTAGTTGGGCACAATACCTTTGTTTTAATTATTTATTTTTTTATGTGGTGCTGAGGATGGAACCCAGGGCCTCATACATGCTAGGCGAGTGTTTTATCGCTGAGCCACAGTCCCAGCCCAGGGTAGGTGATTTTAGAGGCAAGGAGATGAAAACAACATTTAAAATCTTGAAATTATTTGGAAAGAATGGTGTTGTTACATGTGTAGCAGCTACTACAGGAAGTTGCCTATAATTTGCTAAGAGAGTGAGAACTTGAAGTTGGGGAGGTACTTGGGAGTTAGTGACATGGACGTGTTGAAAGGGGTGCACTTGCATGGGACTAGGAAAAGGGGACAAGGACCCCACCATAGAGGAACCCAGAGTTCTCTGAGAAGAATGGCCTCCCAGAGGCACAGTTAGGATAAGAAACAGTATCTTTCCCAGTACTGGAATCTGTATCTGAGATATATAATTAAAGAAAGATTGAGTCTTGACCAGTGTTAAGTTTGGGATAAGTGTCAAAGGAACAAAACAAAGAAAATTCTATTGGATTTGGTTCTAACATTCTTTGTGACCTTAAGGGACCCATTGTCGTGGAGTTAAGCCAAGCAGAGATTGGGTGTATCCAATATACTCTAACTAAATGTATGAGGGGCATTACTCCTTAGTCACTCCAGGGACCCTCAAAATAAACTAGTTAGTCCCCAACTCTCACCTGTACCCTACTCCTGAATCTTTCATGGTGGTTCTATATGGAATGGTTTTAAAATATATAATTGCAAATTCACAACATTCTTCTTATAAAAAAAATGAGGGTCCATGTCCCTTCTTCTTGCCTCTGGCAGGTTTGTGAGTCCTTTGACCAATGGAATAAGGCAACACCAAAGCTGTGTGGTTTCCAAGGTTGGGTCATAAAAGTCTTTGCAACTTCTGCTTTATTCAGTGGGACACTTGCCCTGGGTCACCATGTATGAAATCAAACTTCCCACCAGGCATATGGTACACTTCTATAATCCCAGCTATTAGGGAGCCTGTTTGCAAGTTTGAGTTCAGCCTGGGTAACTTAGCAAGGCCCTGTCTCAAAATAAAAAATAAAAAGAGCTGGAGATGTAGCTCAACGGTAAAGCACTCCAGATTCGATTCCCAGTACCATGTGGGGATGGGAATTAAACTTTTTTGAGGTCATCTTGCTGAAGAGGCCCCATGTAGGTATTTCTGTCCCTTCCAACCAAGGCACCAGACATTTAAGAGCAGGTATCTTGAACCCCACCAGATAAGCCCATCTGCCAGCTCATTACCACTAAGTCATCTCTGTCAATGCCAGCAGAACAGAAGAACCACCCAGTCAAACCCTGCCCAAGTTCATGAATACATGAGATGAAATCAAATGGTGTTGTCTTAAGGTAGGACAGGGTGAGTAGAACAGCAACTTCATTTATTTGGGGAGCTGGGAGGGCATGAGCTCTCTCTGCCCCTTCCTTCAACCCTACCATCATGATGAGGAACTGGATGATATGGTAGGTGCCGAGTCTTTAGGGTCACCGGCCTTCTGTGACACTGCAAAGGAATCTTAAATGAAGTCCCAGTACAATTGTAAGGAAGAAACAGAGTGCACCAAAAGTTGTTTTGGCTTGCATAAAACATGTGCTGGTCTATTTTAAAGGCAAAGTATGATAAACTAAAGGAGAAGGAGAGAGGATGACTACTAAAAGGGGTGTATGTCAGAGACACAGTTAAAAATATTAAAAAATAGATCATGATACAGAACATATGAAGACAGGTCGGGAGAGAGGACCCGAGACAGGATGAAGAGGTTAATTTGCTTGAAAATGTAAAGAAGAATGACTGCATGACCTTCTGGGATATTGATACTGGGCTAGACTTCTCCAGGAGACAGCATCAGTGGAGCTCCGTGGTGACTGGGGACTGGGATGTGCCAGGTACAATGCTGGCTACGAAGGATCAAGGAGAAGCAGAACTGAAAACCTAGGCAAGGAGACCCTTCCAGGTCACAGAAGTTCAAGACAAAGGACGGTTGTGGATTCCCTGGAGCAGACTGACCTCACGGCCTCCGGGAGGTGCAGGGAAGTAGGAGAAAGTTTGTCTCAGGTTGGAGAGAATAGTAGGGGAGAGGGTGGCATCCTAAAGGGTCAGATTTCTGCTGTTCTGGCACAAGAAGTGGAGAGGTAAAGAAGTGCAGTGTGAGCAAGGGTCACCGGCCTTCTGTGACGCTGCAAAGGGGTGGCAGCAAATTCCGAATGGCCTCGATTCCCAGTCCTTCTTTTAAAATTTGGAACATGAACAAGTGCATTTGCTCAAACTGTGGTGGGTCAATCAGGAGCCACTGGACAAAATGTGTTCATCTTAAATCCAAAAGCAAGACAAGCCATTTTTTTGACTGATTTTATATTTTTAAAAACATGACAGCGGAATGTATTACAATTCTTATTACACATATAGAGCACAATTTTTCATATCTCTGTTTGTATATAAAGTATGTTGACACCCAATCGTGTCTTCATACATGTACTTTGGATAATGATGTCCATCACATCCAACATCCTTGCTAATCCCCTGCCCCCTTCCTTTCCCTCCCACCCCTCTGCCCTATCTAGAGTTTGTCTATTCCTCCCATATTCCCCTTCCCCACCCTACTATGAATCAGCCTCTTTATATCAGAGAAAACATTCGGTATTTGGTTTTGGGGGGATTGGCTAACTTCACTTAGCATTATATTCTCCAACGCCATCCATTTACCTGCAAATGCCGTGATTTTATTCTCTTTTATTGCTAAGTAAAATTCCATTGTGTATATATGCCACATTTTTCTATCTATTCATCCACTGAAGGGCATCTAGACAAAACAAGCCTTTGAATCTGAACTGTGTTCAATGCTCTCCTCAGCCAAAGGTAGGTTGTATCATAGTGTAGTTATGCAGATGAATGATCAAATGGCAGAAGGAACG